AGAGAGAGAGAGAGAGAGAGAGAGAGAGAGAGAGAGAGAGAGAGAGAGAGAGAGAGAGAGAGAGAGAGTCTACCCCTATCGACACTACCTTATCTTAAGCTTCAGCACTCGGCCAGCATTTAAGCAAATAAACTATCAAAAGACAATCTGATAAACTTCCCCTCTCATTGTTTTTTTTTTCCCCTTATGACCCTGGCTCCATGTCCATTCTGGGGAGCATCAGTCCAGTTCCTATTTCCCCGGCAAGTCATATGAGCAGAATTACATCAATATACACACACACACTCCCTTCCGTCTGGCCAAAGGGACCCTGATCAGCATTGATTGCTCAGCAGATCTGGAGGATTGACTGTCAGCTTGCCTTTCCCTGAAATTCCTCTCAAGCTCTTCTATAGGGGCCTGTCAGATATGTTAGTATTGCAAGAAAACCAGGGAACATAGCTCAGTGAGTTGATATTGGAGCATCTCATATATCCCTGTAGTCCTGTTGTCCAGCCCGTAGAGAAGCTCTTGTTCTTTGGGGAGCCTCTGAGTTGTGCCACTCCTTCCACCTGATTTGCAGAACATGAATGTCCGCTATCTACCTGTGGACTAACTACAGTATCCTGAACTTGGAAATCAGTTCTTGTCAGTGTTGATCCCCGGTCCAACTGGGGACTCCTTCCTCGACCAGGAGCCTCCCGGTTGAACCGGCCGGTGGCCCGTCCCGGTTGCCTCCCGGTTCACCCCAGCGCATTATTGCTCGGGGCGGGAACTTCTTTTTTTGAGGCCTAGCTCGGTTTTCAGGGGTCCTAGACCCCAGTGCCTGTCGAAGGGCCAAAGAAAAAGCCCGGTACACCATGCAAATCGCAAAACAAAAGCGGCCAATCTGGGCCGCTGATCTTCGTTGATCAATGGCCCAGATTGGCCGCTTTTTGTATTTCAACGCGTTGGAGATCGACGCAAAGGACTACTGCGCCCCGGCCGCCTGCTTCAAACTTAGAAGTTCGTTCGAAGTCTCCCACCTGCCGACGATCGAGCCCGCCATTCTGTCTGGCCGCTCCAGCCCGCCCACCATTGTCGAACGCGCTGCGCCAACCTCCCGTCGTCGTCACGATGTCGCCTGTGCCGAAGGACTGCAGTGCCAGCCGCCATCGCGACTCCAGGGGTGTGTGTGTGTGTGTGTGTGTGTGTGTGTGTGCGTGTGTGTGTGTGTGTGTGTGTGTGTGTGTGTGTGTGTGTGTG